CTATGAAAGCAATAACCACGTTGCGTGAATTGCGCATGCGCACATGTGCATCAATGACATTGTGATTGTCCTTAAGATTCCTTGCTTACTTGTTGGTCATATTGTACGATGTATGATATCCCCTCATGTTTCTAAATGCTGCGCGATTCCAATACTATACCAAGAAATGTAATGTAAATGTTTTGCGATGTTGTAAAGTGTTGATTAATTCTGTCCAATGCAAACCTTGCCTTCTCTTTTTTAATATCATACAATGTTGCGCGTTGTATTAGAAGTGTTGCACAATTTCACCCGATTTCAATACCAATCAAAGTTACATAATATCATCCCATGGTGCGCAATGACATGCCAAATTGTCGTCTCCCTAAATCAATATTATCGCCCAACATTTCGCTAGTATTTCTTCAAAATGTTATTCTAAATAGCTTTACATTTCCACTGTCCTTACCAACTCTCGTACGCTTGTTTTTTGTCGGGGAGTTAGGTGACCATTCCTTATCGAAAAGACAAAAATATTACTGACAAAATATATCACAATAATACAGTGGAACAGTACTTTAAGTCAGCTTTATTTCTAGCGTCTAGTTTTCAGGCGAGTCGTGGTACAGTTTTCTGCTATGCCTTTTGCTCTGTTTAACTCTCGTTGTACTCTTAGGAGCTGTCAACCTATGTTGGTGCGTCCGCTGTCAAATCTTGTGTGCTTGATCATTAAAGTTTCTGAACATGCAAGGAACATTGGTGTAGTTTTCGATAGGACTCTAAGTTTAGCTAAACAAGTTACTGCAGTTTGCCAGTCTGCTTTTTACCATATTAGGAACATAGCACGCGTTAGAAGGTATTTAAGCTATGACACCACAAAAATCCTAGTTCATGCATTTGTGACTTCGAAGATAGATCATTGKAATTCTTTATTGTTTGGCTTACCCAAACACCTTGTGCAACGCTTACAATATGCTCTTAATGCTGCCGCTAGGCTTATTAGTCTTTCACGCAAATCAGATCATATTACACCAGTATTGATGGAGCTGCATTGGCTCCCAGTTGAACAGCGTATTAAGTATAAGATCCTTCTTTTT